ATATATATATATATATATATATAGGTGTGCATATACACACATGCATACACTTTTTGTTTACTCATTTCTGCCTTGGTTGTTACACTTTATATAACTTTTACTGTATGTATTGCTAGTTGACCATAGTTAATCTCTTTGTACTACCTTATTTTTAACTATACAGTAAGTTGTTTTGTAGTTTATAGATGAAGTGGATGTAGAAAGCTCTCAGTATCTGGAGAGAGAGATGAGGTTCAAAAGAAATGCACTTTGTAGGATGGCTGTAACAGAAGAACAGAAAAAAGTTGGTGAGTAGGTTTGTTTAGTGCCTGTTTTTTGTTGTATTTGTTTCAAAAAAGGATTCCAGTAAGATTCTTTTTAACCAGAAGTATCAACTTGACAACTGACTTTGTTTTTCATGCAATTGTTATTTTGTTTAATGGTCTGAAAAATTTTATGCACTTTAATATTTTTTTGAATAAGTGCTCAATTTAATTAGCTTGATGAAATCTGGTGTTGACCGAAAGCATTTATTAAGAACCTTCCAATGTCCTAAATTGTTGAAATGTATATGAGAAATTCAAATTTTCTTTATTTTAATAGTAATGTTTCTAGATATTTTGTGTTTCATTATGCTACTCATACAGGTATGTGACTATTATGAGGACTAGAATGCCAGTTTCAGAAAGTATGTTTTACTTAACATTTCCAGTGGTCTGTTGTTAGTAATTTGTTTTTGTTTTTATAAGCACTATCTGACAATACCCATTAAGGAAGCAAAAATTGTGTAACAGACAATTTTTAGATAATGTTCCCCCTACTCCTTTCTTTTGCATTAAACCCCCAATGACCTTATGAGATGCTAATTGCATACTCTGCTTTATCAAAGGTAATAATTGACTCATCTAATTGGTTAAGTACTTGTGTTTTTAAATTCAAAGCCAAAAAATCTATAAAAAAGTATAAATGTGCTTTGTTTCAGGGCCTTTTTATTTATCCCCCTTCTCAGGCAAAAAGATTAAAACAAAACAGCTTATGTTCATCATGTTACCATACAAAAGATTAGGGTTATCAAACCAGCCAGTGCTTGGTGATGGAAGCCAAAAATCAATAATAAAAAAGTGTAACTGTGCCATATTTCAGGTTTTTTTTTAATTTCCTATTACCTATGGTAATTGAGCAAACCAACTCTGGGTATGGATGCTAACACATGTACACACATGCATGACACATAATGATTCATCTTTATTGTAAGATTCTTCTTCCATGTTTTTCTTATTTATTTATCTCTATCATATCATTAAGATTAACTACCTTTAAAAAAGCTGACTGGAGATTTTGAATGGTAATTTTAATTTTTAAGTTGTACTTTTTTAGTTTTAGTGAAGTTTGTAAATTGAGTTTAAATTTGTAGATAATGTATCCCCACTAGTGTGTGAGTTCTATTTTATCATGTATCTTCCTCAGGGTGCATCATTTCCACATTAGCTTGTAGTTATCTCTTCTGTATGTAAATTATCATAAATTTTCTTATCCTATTGATAGAAATTATGTGAGTGTGTATTTGATCATAATGTTACCCAAGTTTTACTGGATAATAGTTATGATCACTAGGTGGAATTAGAAATAAGTACCCTGTTTATTTATAAAGGAATACATACATCATCTTCATCATAGATGTGCCATCTGAGGTCTGATAACTGCTAAAGAAGATTTGTGATTGTAGGTTCAGGATTAATTTTATTGTGCCTTGGAACTTGTACAAGTAAGACACAAATTTACTTGAAAATGTCTTTTGAAGGAGAAGTTGTTTTCTATTGCATGGTTTGTTTATCTGTCATTTGTAGCTGTGAATCAGATTTCACCACTAAGTAGTTTAATGAAACTATCCCTTTTGGATGTGATTCAGTTGGTGTGGTTTAACAGTATCTTCATTTTGTAGATGTCAGAGAATTGGAACAGTTACTACAATAAACTCTGTTTTCAAGCATAAGGAAAATACATTTTCTAGATATGAGCAAATTTGATTTGCTTAAATAATATTTATTAGATGATAAAAGAACTGGTGATTCATTGTTTTGTTTTTTAGGCGTGATTGCACTTTCACATGCATAATTTTGACCCAAAGAGTGCATTTTCACACCTATCATCAGTTTACCATATGCCACAGAAATAATTGATTTTTCTAACCTGCTTGTCACATTTGTCATACAAATACATTTATATATTAAAGGTTATTTACATGGCTTGTTTATTAAATTATTGAAACAAGGATCAATAGAGTTTAAACTCAAATTTAGTAAACATGTAAACTGTCCTTGGAAGTGTCAAACTTCAAGGAGTGCAATCTCACTACTGGAGGTGTCTTAGGAGTGCAATACTTCACTTGCCTGCCTTTGTCAAATACAAAGCACTGGTAACACTACTACAATAATATTACTTTTCATATGTTGAGTTTGGATTTAATATTTTAGTATCTTTACTTTTTAGCTGTGTGAAGGTTAGATTTAATGATGAGATTAGTTGATATTTTTCATGTTTAAACAAGAATTAAGTAATTAGTAAAACTTTTCAGAGTTGAAGATCTTAAATTTACTAGTGTAATAAGTTAAAGTTTTCATTTATAATAAGAATAAATTAGTTAACACAACAGCTTTACTTTTCAGATATAGGAAGACTGGATGAACAAATATTCATCAACAAAAACATCAGTATCCCTTCAGTAATTCAGTTTCATCCATATGAATCTTATTTTGTTGTTTCAAATAAGGATTCATACAGGTAGGAAAGAGATTAAAACTAGCCATCTATCTGTACCACAAAACATTTTGAACTTCACTGTTTTAAAAAGTAAGAGAAGGAGAATGAAAACCACATGAGAAACAAAATCATGATAATTATATTTCCAAGGGATGATAGTTTCTTAGAAAATATAAACCTATGCTTTGGGATGGGCAGAAAGGTTCTAAAAAATTGGTATGACTCTTCAGAGCTGTGCAGAAGTGTAAGTTTGAACAATAATTTTTTGGGGGTTACACTGAATAAATATTACAAAATGGCAAAACATCAATTCTCAATATTTTTTGAGTAAAAAAATTTTGAAATAGAGTTAGATTTCATAATTTTATTTTTAAAGTGTTCACTAGTGTGTAACTTACTGTATTACACATAGTTTTTTATACTGTACATATAAATCTTTGGCTATTGTGTCTATGTGATCACATAATAAAGCAAAAGGAAAAATAACTTTTATGATATGGCATTTTATTTAATTTTTTAAGTATTTGCTACCATTCTTTTCCCACATTATACAACCTGTATATTGATCAAAAATTTGTATTGTTTTCACATTGAAATCAATGAAAGCCCTTAACTCTAAAAGTTATAGTAGTAATAATTTAAGACAACACTAATTTAATGTTAAACTTGTTTTGTTTTTACAATGAAATCTATGAATGTTTAGAAGCTCTTGACCCCAAAAGTTTTAGTAGTAATAGTTTAAGACATATTTAATGTTAAACTTAAGAAAATGTGCACAGTTTCTTTTCTTACAGAGGTATTACTGATTTCAATAGAACAGTTTGATTGAGGTCTTTAATGCAGAGAATTACGTAAAAAGGGAGTTTATTTAAAATTTTACTGCATTTTTGAGATTTTGTTTGTTGATATGTTTTTGTATCTGGATATACCTACTTTTCAGGTACTGTGATATTATACTGCATACCTGTGATATTAGTAGGTTACATTGATTAATATTTTTATGTTGTGTTTATTATTTACTGTTAAGTAAATATCTTTTTCTTTATGATTGTGTTTATCTTCTATACATAATGTTGATAATAGCTGATTTCTCTTTAGTTTATATAGCTTGTATTTCCAAATATTGTGTTGATACTAGTTTATATTTTGTATATTATATAGATTGTAATGGATTTAAGAGCTTTATTGATAGTAACTGATCATGCATGTTGTGTTGGTTACAATTATTTTCTGTATATTGAATTGATGGTAGTTTACAATGTGTGATTCAGTTGATAATAGTCTATATTTGATGGTTGTGAACAGCATCTGGGACTGGGAACAAGGCTTGATTTTAAGTAACTTTCCTAATGGAAACCCTGTAAACACTCGCATTACAGCAATGGACTTCCTCAACAGTCATGACTTGGCTCTTTTACTTATTGGTTCAGGTAGGTAGTAATAAGTTCTTTCAGTCAAAGTAAGATAACAACTATCAATTTTCAGTATTTCTCATTTAATTGGCTCAGTATGGATCACAATTGAGAAGACTATTTATCATATTTCAAGTACATTCCATTGATCAGATGCTGTTATAAATGATAAGACATTAAGCTTGTTACCAAAGCTCACCAGTTAGCCTGAGTATCAACATCATAATGTTAAAAATTATTAGAATTGTTGCATGTCAAGTTAAAATTTAGTCATTGAGTCTGATTGACATTGGAGTTAGAGCTCTTGTGGAAGAGACCTTAATGGTGAAAATACTTTTTTGCAGAAAAGCACCAGTTGAATCAGTCAAGAATGAAATGATTTATGCTTCAAATTATTTGGCATTATGTAATAGTTCATAAAAATTGGTTGTTTATTATTGTGATATGTGGATTTTAAAATATGTATATCACACTAATAAAGGTTTATAATTTCAGCATTCAGAATTTGATTATTATAAACCATCCTACATTTCAAAAATATTAATATTCACAAACTGTTACATGCATAAATATTTTTATGTTGTAAATTTGACAGCATTTATTTATGCTAAACTTATTCATTCCAACTGTAAGATTACCAAAAATTGTTAAAAAGTAGTATTTTCTGCATATTTATTTGAAGAAAGTGTGTGTTTTAGATTGTTGTTTATCAACCATATGAAGCCATAGGTATATGCAAACACTTATATATATGTTGGCATTTTACAAAAGTGTGTGTGTTCTCTTACAACTGGCAAACATCTGGACCAGTCAGTTGTCACCAAACCTGGTATGCACCTTTTGGACCCCTGGAGGTCACATGTAACTTCCCTGTATTGAACGGATACCTCAGTTAGTGTACATAAGTTTTGAATGTATGTATGCTTTTATATGAATTTATAAACAATTATTTTGTTGGAAAGACGTTCTTATTTTATTTTGAAAATATTTTATGTCCAAAATATTCCATTTTTATCAGAAGTCCTGTTAGATTTCTATAACTAAATATTTGAATTTTTAACAAACATTTATGTAATAATAATAATAATAATACACCTTTTGTTTTCCATAAAGCTAACATTTTTCTGAATATTGACATATTGATGGTTATAGCAGTTATTGTTTATTTATAATAAGTATACAAATCTGAACACTTTAAACATTTCCAGAATTGAATAAAAATACAAAAAACCTATAATTAACAGATAAAAAAAGAAATTGGACTTTCTTGTGAATGACGGTAGTTAATATCAATAAATTAGAGTACTGTTTGTTCAGAATGACAAAACAGAACAGAAAGACAAGTTTGTAAAAATAAAACTTTTGGATGTGTAAAAGAAAAAAAATTTATGAAAAAAAGTAAGGAACAATCCTTTTTTTCAAAAACTTTTGTTATCAGTTTTTATTTATGTCTGTCCAAGTTTTTTTTTTTAATTTAGATAATTTGTGGTTTTTGTCTTGTCCTTTTATAAATCATTATTTTGGTTTATAGTTGTTAACCATTTGTTGGTAAGTTTCTTTCTGCTGTCAGAAATAGTTCATTATGAAGAAGAGAAGATGGGTGTTAGATGTGTGTTAATCTTTCAGATGATGGAGCAGTAAGAGTGTGGCGTAACTTTATTGGAGAAGAAGGAAAGGAACCAGAGCTGGTCACAGCTTTCCAAGCTCTGTCAGAAATGTTACCTTCACCAAGAGGTGGGATTTAGGAGCAATTTTAAGAAATTTTTACCATTTTTGCTGCATTGAGAATATAGTGTCGTTTAGACTTCTTTTTAGCATTTATAATAGTTACTTGGGGTCTGCTTTTCTGGTCCTCGCCCTCCACTATTTCCTATTCTGTATCAGAGCTGCATTTACATATGCCCTCCTTCTCTCTCTCTACATCCATCCCCCTTTTCTTCTGTTTTGTCCTTTCCCTTCCAGTATCTTATTTATTGCTCCCCTATCAACGTACTCCTCTTATCTTGTTTCCACATGACTGAGCCATCTAAGGTGAGTTTTCTCATCTTCACCATAATTGATACTACTTTCATCCTCTCCTTAATGGTTTCATTCCTTTGATACCCATGTCATTCATCTCAACATCTGCATCACTGTCATGTTTACCATCTGCTCTTTCTTTCTTAAACTCCAGCATTCAGCTCCACTGGTCTTTCCTTTCACCTTTATTGGCATCCATCTGTCACTCACTGTTTTACTAACTTCTACAAACACTTTTTTCTATTTTCATTTGTTGTAATATTTCATGCTGTAGTGAAAATATAATGTCTTTTAGGTCACTACATAAACTTATTTGTCCAAGTAGACAAAAACTAGGATTTATATACACAAGTGCTGCCATTTGTTATACCTAATAATTTTAATAAGAAGTAGGAAATTTTAAATTTTGTTATATTCACTGCCTTTTTTTGTGTGCTAGTTTTGTCATAAACCCAATAATTATTTGTAAATACACTAGATGCTGCTTACTGTGATCACTTCGGGACACATTTGCATCAATAACAATAACCGAATGATAATATTAACTGAAGAAATAAATATTCAGCAGTTACAGTAATGTTTATTGATATAGGGTAGCAAATATATTACCTAAAAGTGTGAAAACTGGATTTTTACGTTTATTGACATATTTAAAAACAATTAATGAAAGGAAAAACAATTAAAACAAGAATTGGAAAAGTTCATTTAAAGTTGACTGTTTACTATTTTATTGGAGCAATTCATTAATAAAACTTTCATATTCATACTATTTATGAAACTCACCTGATCTGTGATGTACACCAAGTTACAAAATTTGAAGCGCACCTCGCATTTTAGCACTTGTTGGAGGTTTATCAGCTTTATGGTCTTGAGCTTCTTCATCTCTCAATTCTGGGTAAGTCCGAATAACAGCCTAACAGAACATTAGTAAACCAAAGTTTTAATGCTGATTTGACGTGATCATCTTTTACATTGCACTTTCTCTTACAGATTAAGTTTTCATTCTGTTTTGCTCCCCTCTCAATGTTGGTTCGATTTTTAAAAATTTCACACGAAAGAGGTTGGGAAATTTTTAATTGCACTGCTACATTATGTTGTCTCATTTTTAGTAACTTATCATTACGTTTTAAAATGGTAACTTTTTCTTTAAAGGATAGATCTTTACATTTCTTATGCACTTCTTCCATTATTAAAGAGGGTTAAAAAAAAGAAATTTGTGGGAGCATCATATTTCATGAAGGAACGAAAACAACTATGCTGTAATTATGGAAAGGAAATGCAACAGCATAGGGAATCTTAATGACAACTTAGCCATGCCCTATTTTATGTTGAACCTTCCTCAGGTCGCTTGACATTGAGATGGTTAAACTGATTAAAAGTGATAAATAAAACAAAGTACTGGTTACAATAAACAATGTTTTTCTTATGTATTTCTATGCATTTGGTCAGGACTTGATAATTTTGATAACATTATCCGTGATCACAATAAGCGGCATCCACTGTATAAATAAAACTTTTTGGAACAGTAGTGTGTCAAAACCTTATTTATTCTTTTAAGTTATTTTGGCTGGTTTATTTAAGCACAATGGTCTCTTATACCACACAAACACACACACACACATATACATATAGTATCTAAAAATATTTTATTATGATCTATGCTTATTATAAAGAATGTGAAATGTACTCATATTATAAGCTAACATTTAAATCCAAAACTAGATTACAGTTGACACTTACTGCTTGTGCTTCTTTGTCCTGAGGTTACTCAAGATTGAAATGTTATCAAAATTGATTTATGCTTACACAAAGTATGAAGAAAATGAATTTGTAAAGTTTATCCAGTCCTGGTTAGGCACTAAAAATTAAGCTAGAAACAAATTCTTTTTCAGATAAAAAATATATAATTTTCTTACATTTAGATCTGCAAAGAACTTAAGTATCTTTGTATCCATTATGATAGAGAAAATTTTGCTAAACTCTAGGCAGAGATGGATTATCATTGAAGCAATGGCATATATGTTGTGTTGATAAAAATCGATAGAAAAGAACCCCAAAAATAAAATTAGCCTCAGGCTTCAAGTATAGTTAATCTGGCTTCTGTGGTTTAACTAACAGAATCTACAGAACAAACTGTGAAATAGAAAAAATTAAAAGAATAAGTTTAAAAGTAATTTAAACTGTGCAGGACACCTGTTTTCTTTTTAACATGCAGAAAATAGTTACATATTAAGAACAGTATAACATTGGCATGTTTAGTAATAAGATAACAGTAATTTATTTTGGTCTAGAATTACAGTTATCTTCTTACAACAGGATTGTTACTATATGTTTAGCATTTAGGAGAACAGATATCCATTGAGCAAGGGTAACCATTATTTGTTCAACACAGGATAACAGTGATTTATCAATCACCCATAATAGTTATTCATTCAACCCAAGATAACATTTATCTGTTTTGCATGTATAACAAAAGTGTATAATGTTAGATTAATGCTCACATATTTCTTGTTGTGTTTGTTAGCTTTACTTCTAACATGTAATGTATGTTCTCAGTATTGTTCCATGAGAATCCTCCCAAAATATTGTATCTGGCTTAAAGTAGTCATACAGCAAGATATGTGACACAGAAAAAGTTTTCTTTGGTATTTGTTAGGAATGAATGTTAGCTGTAATTGTAATTTTGTAATAGTCCTATAAATACAATTATTCTCAAAGTTGAATATTGTCCAATCAGCAATTGTTGCTCTTTTACCAGTATTGTCGGTTGCATAAACACAACAATTGTGTATGTTGCACTAAACAAGAGGACTTACAAATAAAAATTACTTACTGGCTTTGATTCATGGGGGAAAAAAATTGTGTTGTGCTCAGTATGTAACAACTATATTACATAGTTGAATTTGTAACTTAAATTCTTATTTGTTTTGTTTTTTGAAATATTAGGTTCTGGACTGGTGCTTGAGTGGGAACAACAAACCTCCAAACTCTTTTCTTCTGGAGATGTGCGAATTGTCAGAGTGTGGGATGCCATTCAGGAAAAGAAAGTACAGGTAAATGAATGGAACATTTAGAGCGAATAGGAAAAGCATATCTGGTCAATGAAAAATTAAGTTGGTACGAAATTTACAGCATTGGCTTGTTAACACTATTAAATATAATACTTTGACAGCTTCTTTTAATAATATTTTCAAAGTTTTAGAAAATATAATTAAAAATCATTTCATTGGCTTGCTAAGACTCAATTTCTCATATACAAATGTAAAAGTTAGCCAATGTAGCAGGTGTTTCTTGAAGTGTCATTCACTATTATGTTTAAGTTTTACAAGCCTGTTGTTAAAGATATTCTAAATTCTGTAGTGTTTTGGGTTGATTATATTACTTGGCTATTGTCAGTTTTCAAAATTGTGTTTCATAAAAAATCAATAGTATTTAGTGATGTACAGTTTTTAGATTTTTCTTTTATTTCTTTTTTTTTTCATCTATCTTGAGTGAGATAAGAATTAAGAAGATAGTGTACCTTTTGTTGTTAAGTGAGTTTGGTTAGCCTCAGCATGGTCATGTAGTAAATATAAATTAAGTGATCATTTTCACAAAGTTCTCACTTTTTATTGTTTATAGTTTTGACTTTTTGCAAAGGAGACAAGGCTATAACTGTTTTTGTTTGTAATACTTTCCATTTTACATGCATTAATTTTTAAGATACATGACAAAGGTGATGTAATTTTTAGTGACTTTATTGTATATGCATTCTTGTGGCACCTTGGCAAAATGAATAGGAGATTTCCACACATTGTTTGGTTAAATAGAAGTTTGTAAGTAAAGAAACTTATTTAATAATCATTTATTCTTGCTCTTTTCATTGAGTTAATCAGTTTTAGTTACAGTTGGTTATTATATTTTATTAACAGTTTTGTACAACAATGACCAAAACCTTACCTCAAATGTCTGAAAATATTTGTAGAATTCAGACACCAAGGGAGCTCGAAGACACCAGAAACTTAAACCATATTACTTAGCTTAGGGGATTTTTTTATGTCTTTTGGATTTGTCAACTAAAAATATTTATTTAAAATATCCTTGTCAAGAACTTTCTAGTCATACTGTATATTGTTCTATTCTAGGATTGTGTGAGTGTGACATAGTATTTACACAGTGTTTACTTGTAGCTTGGTTTACATCAGAATTGATTATTAAGCAGATGGAAAACATGAACATTGAAACAATCTTAATATGAACCTTTTTAATGTACTATTTGCACATAGTAACTCCAGCATGTTTTGTATAGCCAGTTGTTGCAGATGAAATATTCATTAGATCAGTTAGTGTACTGTAGAAAGTTAAAATAAATTTGTATTCTGTGAAAAGTTCAAATTGATTACTGCATGGAAAAGTTCAGATTGATTAGTATATCATGGAAAGTTCAAATGTGTATACCATAAAAAATTCAAATCCATTAGCATATTATGAAAGTTTTAATAGATTACTGTATGGTGGAAAGTTCAATTCAGATATGGTACTTAACTCCTCACAAAATTAGCTATGTTTGTTCAGTGCTGCCCTCTATATACAAAATATTTCTTTACGCATATCACAAACCTTCTGCTCCACCTATTGGAATTGAAAGATTCCATCGTGTCTCACATGCAAATCTTACGAATCACTTCACCACCAACAGCAGCATGACATGTTCATGTGATGCATGGGACTCGTTCTATACTCCTCTACCGAACTATCTCTTCTCATTTGGCAGCACTTGTGTTTGGACTTGGTTCTTGTTTGTTTAAACATTTTGGCTTAAGTTTCCTCACAAAGTGGTTTTCTTTAATTTATTTAGTTTTCATTCAGACAGTTTCTTCACTTTAAATTTGTATCAGTTACTTCCAGTCACATTATTCTTTTTCACCCCTTGAATTTGATGGATTCTTCTTCACGATGAATTCTGAAGTTCATGTTACCACTTTTGTGGGTCACATCAATGACTAGTGTTCTTTCTCAGGCCTCAGGTGTGGAGGACCAGATGGTAGATTTATCCCCGTTTATCTACCAGGAGATCAAATGTTACATGGGCCAGCCTTTGTCCCTGGATCTCGCCCTGGTTCTTCCCGAACAGATGGAGCCTGTTCAGACTTGGATCGTCTATTTCTGCCTCCTGATTTTGCCATACCTTCCCACCCCCCACCTGAGGAATCAGTTAGGCCTAACTCAGTCTTTTTGGATTTTGTTTCTCAGGTATGTGATGTTTTATCCTTTTTTCCTATTTCTTATGAGCCACATCCTTCCTTACTACATGGCCAATCTTCCCACCCCTTTTTGGTTTTTCCTCCCTCCCCCCGATATTCAGGTTCATGCTGATCAATTTGCCTCCCAATTAAGTGATGGGATTAGCATGCCTTACCCTACGCATGCTTCAGATCAGTTCGCACTTTCATACCATTGTGCTGACTGTTCCGTTTTGGACCAACAGTTGTTAGGTTCCATATTGCTTGTTTGGGGGTGGCTCCCAAATCACCTGTCAGTCTGACCCATGCCCAGTACTCTTTCCTGTGTGTTACCTTTACAATTCTTTTATGGTATCTTCCTTCTCTCCACTTTCTCTCTCAGGCTCTCCACAGAAATTCTGAGGGGTTTTCTGGGGATACCCTTTCCCTTCTTTCCTTCACACTAGCTCGTTTGTTATCTTCGGCTTTGGCTTTGCATACGTGGTTTCTCTGTTGTTGCGACCTTCTAGGTTTTGATGTGATTTTGACTCGGGTCCTTTTACCATCAACTTATCTTCAGGACTTGCATATGGCCCCATTTCTCTGGCTATATGTTTTTGACACGATCTCAGAAATACTTGATTCACAGGTGGCATTGGTGCAACAGTGAACAACAATCTACCCTTTGCAATATTGTTGCATGTTGGTCTCAGGCAGAACCCCATATGCCACCTATTACCGTTTCCCATCCATCTCCTTCCCAACCCTTACCTGTCCCTCCTCCTCAGGGTGGCTCTTCTCATCATTTTTTCAATGACACACCTCATGTTGCCAACAGTACTTGGTTCTGATCCAGTGGGAGCTCGGCTTGCTGATTTTCTTCATCACTGGCATTCCTTTGTCGAAGATCAATGGGTTCATCAGGTTTTATCAGAAAGATTCATGATCCCTTTTCCTTCCCCACCTTCCATATCTCCTTTCCCTGTTTCTTTTCCTCCTCCTTGGTATCCCATGACCAGTCAGCATCTGTCTGAAGCAGTTTGGGAATTGCTATCTCAGCAGGCCATCTAACCTGTTCTCCATCCTTCAACAGGTTTTTATTCCCGCCTTTTTGTTGTTGCCAAAAAAAACTGGGACTGGAGGACAGTCATAGATTTATTCCCACAAAATGTTCTCCCCCAAGCTATTGGTGCAATACGAAAGTGATAGTCAAACACTTAGCACAGATGATGGTTGGCAGGGTACTGCTGATTAACTACCTTTTCTCTGGTATGTAGTTCAAAAGTAGGAACGGTGTCAAATAGTCTTAGTATCTTTGTCATAAATACCAAATATTCATGTTTGTGTTAAATTTATTTTTGTTTATCAAACCTTTTCACTTTATTAAGAGTTTTTCATTTCTAATGTTAGTAATATCATTCATAAATGTTATAGAACTGCAAAGATGATTTATATTATTTGTTTGATATATTTTATAATTAAGGACATAGCTATGGCCAACAAAAAACAGTAATGGATTGAGATTTTGAGTACAGATATACATCTGTACCAGTAAATATTACTGCCTCATCTGTAGGAGTATAAACATACTCGGAAACACCTGGTTCACTCAGTTTAATTATAAACCAGAACAGTTCATAGGTGGAACTTCTACTAGATCATGCATATTCCATTTATGATTTAAGAAAGATTGTAGAAACTGAAGTAAGTTTTTGTGATTAATATCACAGCTTGTAAACTATTAAAAATGTTTGTTAAAAAGTACAATTTTACATACTTTTTAGGCATTGATGAGTTTATCATTCATTGAAGTGTGTTAGTGTAAGCATTTCCTTTGCAATTATTTTCAGGATATACCTACTGGTGCAGACAGCTGTGTTACCTCCCTGTCATCTGACAGTACTCTGCACCTATTGGTAGCAGGCTGTGGTGATGGGACCATCCGCTTGTATGACCAACGGTTGTCACCCTCTGATTGGTAAGTGCACATATAAGTAAAAATTCTGTTACTTTCAGGTTAGATTTTTGTTTGTTAGGATTACCTGTCATCAGTTTCTCTTTATTTTCAAAAACATTGCGTATAGGTTTCTTAGAAACAAAATAAATAGATTGATTTTAAATATCATTATCTATTAGGTCATCAATAAATTAATGCCCCTTTTTTTTAGATGAAAAATCTTGAACAACTTGTATATCAAAACAAAACATTTATTAAATGAAATAGTCCCCATTATTATCGAAGATGCTTTTCCATTTTACAATCAGATTGTTAATGCCCTGATTAAAGAAATCACTTGGCTATTAAGCAAAAAACATGTACATGTCCTCTTTAACACCTTCCACATTTGCATACGTTTTCCCATTAAGATGGTGTTGCAGAGAACAAAAAAAGATGGTAATCTAATGGTGCCATATCCGGAGAATATTGTGGGTGGGGGAGAACTTCCCAACCCAACTCCGTAATCTTGTGTTGCGTCAAACATGCCACATGTAGACGTGCATTGTC